TTCTTTTTACATCCTCAAAGTCAATTTCCTCCCATTCATCCAAATCTAAACAGTTCAATCCTCTAGATTTGCATTAATGGCCTACCCCAAACTTCTCCCTATATCTGTTGCACAGGTTGTGTTTATGCCTATATTGCATTGCCTCAGTTGAAATCCTATTATATTCCATGGATTTAGTTTCAACCTTCTTGAAATTTGGGTCAATAGCAGGAAGTTTGTAGGAATTTGGATAGCTCTGACCATTTGTGTGGTTCCTGTACATCCCATACTTGGGTTCTATTGCTATTTTCCTGAAGGCTTATGTTGTTTAGATGGAACTTCAAGCGACCACTCCTGCAATTCTGCAACTTCAAAAGCTTTGGATAGAGTTTGTGGTTTGAACATCTTGACCATTGGCTTAATTTCTTCCTTTAAGCCACTGATGAAACTGGACATAAAATACCTCTCACCCAGTTTGTGGTTTCTGATCAACATAAGGGTCTTTAATTCTTCAAATTTCTTCTCATACTCTTCTATGGTTCCCTTTTGGTGTAATTTATTAAATTCCTCTACCACATTACATGACCACTTTCCAGCAAACCTTTCACACAATAATTCACAAAATTCAGACCAAGGCGTCCTAGGTCTTTCTAGCTTCACCCCTTGGAACCAATTGCCAGCCTTTCCTTCCAAAAATATTTCTACCACATCTATCCTCTGATTCTCAGGTATTTGGTAATTGAAGAAGTATTTATGACATTTTCTTAGCCACTCCCAAGGGTTACCCGAAGAAGACATAGGCATCTCCGGTCTTGGCAGGTTGGGAACAAAGTTCTTACCTCTAGCATCAGGCTATATTCCATGCATTTCTGCAGAAGACATGAGCTTCAAATGCACTGGGGGAGTAGGTAGACTTGGTTCTGACGTTCCTGCTTCAACCTCTAACATGCCTTTTTTTTTCATCATTACCTTTAGTAAAGCATTGAACTTCTGCTCCGTCTTGTTGAATTTCTGATCTAGGTTCCCTACCATAGCCTCTAATCTCAAATTGTTCTGCTCCAGTTCTTCATGGAATTTCTGATGCAAATTGTTTTGACAAGAGGCCTGAACTGCGGTCATGGTCTCCATTACTTCTTGGAGTCTACTTTCCTGTTTCTTGAGTTGATCCTCCAACAATCGAAATCTGGTGTTTTCAGCCATGAGTGGTGTCCTTAGTAGCCAAGGATCGACTGCTTTGATTCCAATTGTCAGGCCAAGAAATATATGAGAGGTTGGATGAAACTTAGTAGAGCAAAAGTGGAGAAGTGTTAGAGAGAAACTAGAAATGAGCACAGAAAAAGACGAAGATGGAAGAGAGAGAAAATGAATCTTGTTATTACTCATGCCAATTCGGTTACAAGAAAATGGAATTATTTATACAATTCTGTTATTCCTCTAACTAACTGGACATAAAGCACTAACTACCAAATTAAGTCCAACTATGTCGTTTTGTTTATTTTGCTCCTTATGATCAAAATGCATAGCAGTCCTTATAAAATGATATTTTATACTTCTTTTGATGCCTGACAGGGGACTGAACCACATTCTGACAAAATAGATGCCTTTGAACCCATTGGTGAAACTTTCAGAAAATCTTCAAGATTAATGCAAATCAAGAGATTTAATTCCTTAAACTGCACCTAAGGACAGCCTTGATCACATGATCAAAGGAAGCGTGACCAATATTAAGCGTGGACTTAATATATTTTCAGTCAATCGAAGCATTTTTTTAATGTAAGTGGGAAGTCTTGAATTCGAAATCTCTCACTTACACTCCCTTTCCTATACCACCAAATTTATCCCCCTCTCCCTCGATACACCTATGAAGCAAGACCAACATACACATGGAAATGATTGTGATAGAGTTTTGATTGTTAGTAATTTTATTGTTAATTTTTCCCTTTTGTCCTTGCCAAATATTGTTTTAATTATTAATATTTATTTATATTTGGTATTTGGACTCAATTTCAAGGAGTGGAGCAGAAAAATACAAAAAAGGAGGGACTCTCTGGGGAAAATGGAGACTTCTAAAAACTTCACAACCTGACCCACATGATGCTGAGAAGAAACGGACTTCCATTTTCCTTTTGCTGACTAGAAGTCCTCCTACCAATATTTGTGAGATCTAATTAGTTTTCATGCGTTCCTTAATTTGTTAATATTTGCACGTTGTCTACTTGAATTTCCATGGATTATTTTGTTAATTGGATGTCAAGGGTCCGATGGTCAATGTGACTTATTAATCTCCTGCCAAGTTAGTCGACCAAATCCGTAATTGTTTAATCAATTAATATTAGTGGCAACCAGCATTTTTACACACTAGGAGGACGTGCAATCTGATTTTAATAACCCTCGTAGCGTGTTATTGGTTAGGGTTAGGTTTTTCTAATTCTTTATGCAATTGGTAAATTAATTCCTATGGTCGTACCTAGGAGTATTCTCTGGTTAGGGGTAATCAATGGTCGTATCTTGGTTATCAATAAATTAAGGAAAACTTGGTCGTCAGAACCCGTCGGCGACTATAACTAACCTATTAATAAATTAAGTGAATCTCCCTTGCATCGATGATCGGATGAGTGGACTGTGTTTGAGTAGTTGTATCCTTGGCTAGAATTTATCTATTCTTGAGTTAATTTCTGTCTACATTCGTGCTAGTTAATTATTCATTCTTAGTGTAATTGCTTAATTATTTTTAGTTTTACTCCGATAAAATCTCCCATCGTCAATTGAAACTTCAAATAGACAAATATCTCCAGTCCCTGAGGAGATGACCCTGCTTGCCACTGTCTACTTGTTAGTATCGTTGTCAGCTAATTAATTCTGGTATATCAGATTAATCAAACTCTTCGGGAACAGGGTGAATCAAGTAACCCATTGCACACATAGAGTCCCTGCTCCAGTACCTAGAGTTGATTATTGACTGCTTTAGTAGTATTTAGGTTTTTATCATTATTATTGCACAAGTTCGACACCTGTTAGATTGTGACCAAATCACATACACAAACTCCAAATTTTTTTGAGGAAAAAGAATTAACAGAAAACACAACATTAGTCTTGATAAAACACAGCTGCAATTATTTTTTTAAATAAAAAAAAATTTGTTTTCTAGCAGGGGAGGGGTAGTTGGGAGGGGAAAGGGAGATTTCAACCTTAGCCACTAAACCAATACCTCATCGGCACAGTTGCAATTAATATTGATAAAACATTAAAGGAAAATGAAGATTACGATATTATCAGAAAATTCCACAACATTAACCAATTTGGCAAAATCACAACTGTCCTCTGAACGAGAAACCACCCCAGCCATCTTATTCATCTCTAATAATTCCTTCACAGCATCTAAAATGTGCAATCTGGACGCATCGTTGCACCTAACAAAGATTCTTTAAAAAAAAAAAGTTTCGTCACACTTTTCACTTGGCTCCTATAATATCCCGATTAGAAATTATTACAAGATTGTTGAGTCTGGTAGTTAGTTACGGAATATTTCCACGTCAGCAATTGTACAGTTAGGGAGAATCTCAGTAGTAACCGCCATTTTTTTTTTTTGTATAAATAAGATAATTAGAGAAGTGCAGAGTGTGTGTTGATTTGATGTAACTAATTCTCACTCTCTCAATAAAATTATCTCTCTTCTCTCCCAATTTCTTCTTCTTCTTTTCCTTTTCTCTTTCTTCAACCCTCCACCGGGTCATTACAAGGTGGTATCAAAGCTATCTTTCGTCGGCCTGATCTGAGGTAGTTAGTTCCACTATGGCGGAAGGAACCAGATTGAAATCTCTAGAGGAACAGCTTAAAAGGCAGGAAATTAGAACCCAGCGAGTAATGGACAGCTGGGCGGCGACAGAGAAGCAAATGAGGGATTTGATGGCCGTCCATCGGCAACATTTGGAAGAGAAAATTGAATTGTCCAACAATGAATTGAAGAACTTAATTGCAGCTCTATCCAATCAATTCGGAGCTGCGATGAGGACTGTTCATGGTGATAGAGGAATTTTGCAGACCCCCACAGGGCATTCTGACGGGCAAAATCACTGGGGACGTATAGAATAAGATTCCGGAGGAAATAGGCAGTTCTTGCAATTGGCCATTCCAAGGATGGAATTTCCAGTCTTTGATGGAGAAAACCCATGGGAATGGATCCGAAAAAGACAAAAATATTTTCATACATTCCATATTCCTGACTCTCAAAAGATGGATATGCCATAGTTTATTAAGGCTTCAGTAGCCTTTCAGCATCCTGAGTTGATCAAGAAGATTAAGCCCTTTAGGGTGAAATTAGCTAATGGAGATAATTTATTGTGTAAATTCTCACATGATTTCTACGTACTGGATACGGAGCCTTATGATGTGATCATTGGTGTTGACTGGATGAAAGCATATAGCTCTCTTACTTTTGATTTCAAGAAGTTACAATTAGTCTTTGACAAGGAACAGGAGTTGGTTAACCTGCAAGGAGATTCAAAGACTGCTGGTGTGAAAATGCATTAGGGAAACAGAGCAACCAGGATCCATAACAGGCATAGGATTCATATCAAGAGAAAGAACTTCATTCCAGGACACGAAATCATAAACAAGTATAAGAAGTTATTACTAACTAATTTATACCACTAATCTGAGGTGAACTCAAGTTTCAGGCAATGCTCGAAATTTCAGACACACAAGGAGACTGATTTTAGTATGAACAAAAATTGGAATTATGGGGATCCTTTTTTCTCGGAGAAGAGGAATAGATTTGTAAATTAAGCGTTGATTGAAAGTTTCTACAGGCCAATATTAAGCAAGGACTAAATACTCTTATAGTATAATGTATAGTATGGAAGCATAAGATCCAAGCATAGTATGGAAGCATAAAGATGTTCAAGCCGAATTGACCTAATTCACTACCTTTCAAAACATACAATTCTTGTAAAGAAAGACTAGGAATATGTTTGAATCATCCATTTATTTTTTCAAATAAAAAGCCACAGATGTCTTCTTTATCAGTTCATCGAACTAGCAACTTCATCTTGGTGATTCAGACCAGTAAGCAGCTGCAAATCAAGATTTCAAGCATTAGTACAAGAAGACATCCTTTTCCATGCTAGTGGGCACAACACTTATATAACTTTTCTCTTGTTTCCGCTTTTTTTTTTGTGTGTCTAAAATGGATTCTGAACGATAGAAACCAGTTAGCTTACAAGACTTCGTCCATAATAAAAGAATTTATCTAAATTAGAAAAAAAAATGAACTTCAACTTGTGGGCTGTATTAAATTCTCGAGTATACCTGTGGCAATCAAACTTCAAGATTTTCTTGGTGTACCCTCAGACCAAGTAAAACATCCTTAATGAGATGTAATTTTCTGACAACTTCATTCATATGCATCCTGTCATTTGGTAATCTTGCAGAGCACTTCAGTCCAATTTTCAGTAGGGAAATAATGCACTCCATCTCTTTTCCACCACTGCTATTTTTCCCTCCAGGAGTTATTTTTCTGTTTTCATCTCCTTCAAGAAAAAGCAACGGGTTCATGGTCTCAGAAACTTGTTCATATAAAGCCCCATTAACATAATTATGTAGATCCAGGTCACCCACGAATATATCATCAGTTGGTCTCCTCCCTGTAAGCATCTCTAGCAAAAGAATGCCGTAGCTGTAGACATCCCCCTGAGTTGATACCGCAAGACCCATTCCATACTCTGAGATTTTGTTTCTAGACATATTATTATTGGGTAGTAAAAGAAAAACTATATAAAAGAAATAAGTGATTAAAATAAATCAAATGTTAGATTGGGGCATAATGGACCTTCTGTTAGAACAAAATGACTTTAATTAAAATTTTTACTATGTATCGGTGATTAGAGATTTCATGTAAATCTGAAAAAAAAAATTAAAAAGAATTAAATGTCCCAAAAGTTCTACATTTCTGTGCACAATTAAGTAACATCTTGACCATAAAAAGGTTGTAAATTATAATTACCTGGAGCTGCGTAACCTGTTGTTCCTTTTATGGCAATAGTACTGCTGGTTCCTTGCTCCGAAGAAGTGTTGACGGGTTTCGGGAGAAGCCTTGCCAATCCAAAATCACCCACATGAGCAACAAGATCATTGTCAAGAAGAATGTTACTTGGTTTTAGATCACAGTGAACAATCTCAGCTTCGCAGTGGTCGTGAAGATATTGCAATGCTGAAGCCACATCAATTGCAATATTTAGCTTCTGAAGAAGATTAAGACTTCTTGAGCTTGTTGCCTGATCAGTTGTCTCTGAAGGATGCAGCCACAGGTCCAGATTTCCATTTTCCATCAACTCATAGATTGGAGCTTTGAATTCATCACCCTTGGAATCAATACTGGAGCAATAACTCACGATAGAAACGAGGTTTCTATGGCGAATATTTCTCAATGCTTTGCACTCCGCCTTAAAACTTTTCGAAGCTCCGTTCTTTTGAAGATCAAGAACTTTAACTGCTACAAGCTTATTGCCATATTTTCCTAGCCTTCCTTTGTAGACAGCTCCGAAATTTCCTGAACCAATTAAGTTGTCTGGAGAAAATCCTGAAGTTGCACGAACAAGCATGGTAAGAAAGCCGTAAGAGCTCATTGTTTCTTGTGGGCATGCTAGAGAATCCGGCCACCATTCTTCTTTCTCTTTTTCGATATACCAAGAAATATAACAACAATGCACCGAGAACCAGAAGCGCTGCTGGTAAAACAATGGACAACAATATGATAACCTTAAGCTTTCCTCTGGTTTTCCCTTTAATCACTGGGCAAGGTGGGAACTCCAATTCTGGAATGCCTCCACAGAGTTTGTTGTTGCCAGTCAATGATATTTGACTTTCATTCCTGAAAACTCCTGTGTTTGGTATCTCACCCTCAATGTCGTTGTAGGAAAGATTTAAGTAGCTCAAAAACTGAAGCTTCTGAAGTTCTTTTGGTATTGGTCCAGTCAAGTTATTACTTGAAAGGTCTAATTGCTCGATGCTCTTCCAAGAAGCCAAATTTGGTGGAATTGTTCCTTGGAAAAAATTGGATTGCATAAAAAGATTCTGCAGATCTGAACAGTCAGCAAGTGATATGGGCATACCTCCAGCTAGTTGGTTGTGGGAAACATTGAAATCCACCAAATGTATAAGCTTTCCAACTTCAGGAGGCAGAGAACCACTAAACGAATTTTCACCTATTTTCATGTAAATCAGTGATGAGTGCGTCTGCAGAAAATGTGGTGATATAATTCCATTGAAGTTGTTTTGAGATATATCCAGATATTGCAAATTTTGACAGTTCATAAGAACATTGTCAAATATATTGCCCCCTTAAAACTGGTTGGTTGATAAGTCCAGATTGTATAGAGTGGTGGCGTTACATAGGGTAGATACTATGTGTCCTGAAAATTGATTATCGTCAAAACGCAGAAGTTGCAAATTTTGTAATTTGCCAAAATCTCTTGGAATGACCCCCTAAAAGATAGTTTTCTTCAAGGCCAAGTCGAATTAGGTTGACAAAATTTCCAAATCCTTCTGGAATCGTTCCTGACAGTTGGTTATCTCCCAAGTACAATGTAGTCAGTTGATTTGAGAGATTGGCCATGATTTTAGGTACATTACCTCCAAATGTATTGACACTCAAGGAAAGCATTCTTAGATTACTGCAGTTGGTCAGTGATGCAATAAAATCTAAGTCCCCAGTTGAATTACCGCCGAAGAGGTTTATTTCAAGATTTAATCTTTGAAGATTTGTCAGATCTCCTAAATTAGCTGGAACTTGGCCTGCAACTTTATTATGGGAAAGATCAAGTATCTCAAGCCCAGAAGCATTGGTGATTGAAGTGGGAAAGTTTCCAGAGAAATTGTTTTCCGCAGCAGCTAATAGTTTCAGATTTGGTAGGGTGAGACCCATGTTAATTGGGAGATTGCCATGAAAGTAATTGCTGGTTACTGAAATGGAAGTAATGGCTGAACTATTAAAGATGGAGGCAGGGATTATACCAGAGAGTTTATTTGCTGCAAGAAATAATCGCACCAACCTTTTCAAGAGCCCCATCTCTAGAGGCAAACTTCCCTCCAGATTGTTGAAGTAAAGTTGAGTGCGTTCAATGATGATGATAAGTTCCCAATGGAAGAGGGAATCTCTCCCGTCAAATTGTTTTTGGTGAAATATATTCCTTTAAGCTTCTTCAAATTGCTTAGCTGATCAATTGGAATCTTCCCTTCTAGCTTGTTACTGGTTAGGTCAATAACTATCATCTCTGTGCAGTAGCTCAGGTTTGCTGGGATTTTTCCACCGACTGCATTACTTGACAAGTTCAAGACTCTTAGCCTGAGGAGGCGACCGAATTCTTGGGGAATCCCACCATGGAATTGATTCTCCCCAAGTTCCATGGACCTCATGAAGCTTAGATTTCCGACCTGAGGAGCTATGGTTCCAGACAACTGCTTATGCCTTAGAGTCAATGCAATGACCCTTTGGTGTCGAGTACCACAAGTGACTCCTTCCCACCGGCAATGGTGCTGTGAGTGGTTCCAGGAATTCAGCGCTCCAAACGGGTCATCATATATCTGATTCTTGAATTCAAGCAGAGCCAGACGATCGGTCTCATTTTGAAATTGTTTAGCAGCTGAAACATGGCTTACTGAAAAGTTCATGGCAACTGAGAGTAGGAGAAAAATGTTTGCTAATGTCGATGAGTGAAGTCCCCACATGGTCTTTGTTGGGATCGGCTACAAACTGATGATTGACTGGTAAAAGTTTCTGTGGATTGGGAACACGTTTGAGCCGTTAAAGATTCTTGTGTTCTGCTTTATGGTTGCCCAAACAACCATAAACTTCGTTGTCAAAGCTTAAACAAAGATATGGTCAGTGAGCTTCCGCCAGACTCAATAGAATTTCAGCATGTCGACCATGACCCAATTCCTGGTACTAGTACTTTTCAAACCCCGAAAATTACTTGTAAAGGAGATCAGAAACAATTAGATGTTGAATTCCTAATGTTTTGCATTATGGATCATTCATTTGACTAATTAATTTTCACCTCAGCTTTGTTAACCGAGAAGGTCTTATCAAAGCAAGAGTTATCTCCAGCCAATTTTTCATTGATATATATTATTGAGCCAAAGTAAGTGTACCTCTATAAAATGTCATCGAAGGGGAATCTTGTGATTTAAACAAAGGAAAAATTGGTCAAAAAGTCTCTCATACTTTGTTCATAAAATTGGACTTTTTTATACCTTAAAAAAAGGATCACGTGTGAGTTATGTGGTGTATTTAGATTAAAAGTGGTAAGAAATTTAGGTTGGAACCAAATCTGGCCTACTTAATTTTGTAAGGGACATAAAATCAATATTTTAAAAGTGAGAAATGGAAAAAATTCATTTAACAAAGTGTAAAGATCCTGAAGGACATTTCAATAATTTTCCCTTACAAAAAAAGAAAAAAGAAAAAAGAGAACGAATTTGGTGAGGTTTAATCGTGAGTCAAAAAAGATGACTCTGAAAGGGCGTAAACTCCCTAGTGATTCTGCTGTCTGATACCGCGTGATGGAGGATTAGAGATGGTCAATGATCTTCCCAGTTTGGCCCACAATGAGAATCAAATTTAACTGACGAGGACTCTCAACTCACACTATCCTCATCCCAACAAATAGCATTGGGCCAGTCGATGACTGGTTAAATGAATCACAACAAAATGACCGAGGTTGAAACTGAAAATTTTCCACACCAGTAATAGGGATGTTATGAACCACTTGGAGACTTGGGCTCTTTGCCAAGGGCCCAGTTAGCAGACTTATTAAATTGGGCAAACTATACTAACACCGGCTGAACCTTTTGAAAATATTTCTTATTTTGTTCACTTGATGTTTTTTTTTTTACCCCGGTTCGATTTGATCATTTAGCTTAGCTTAGATGCCTCATCTTTCCATTAGTCTAATTTCTACCTTTATGTTATTGATTAAAAGGTCCTAGATTTAATACGGTATCTACTCCAGAGACATTTTCATCTATTGTCTTCATCCGTTTAGCCATTTAGATCTAGAAATGAGACATATTGATGAGATATGGGCATTAAGTATCGGATTAATAGATGAAATTGAATAAAATGGACAAAATGTGATATTTACAATTAGGGTTTTTGTCAATGTTGTTAAACTTGGATTGGATAGAGATTGGCTAAACCACTGGATCAATAGTCAACTGGACGAATTGGTCGGACCATTCTCGACAATCTGCTGATATCAATATGATATCATAATTATTTTATATTTTTATAAGTTTTAAAATATATTGAAATTAAATTCTTGGTTATATTTGGCCAATCATGAAAATGTTTCAAAAATATTAGACTTGCAATCAAATATACACCTAATAATTATATATAAAAATGTAAATTTATGGTTAAAACATGTCCATTCTCTTAAATTACTTAAAAAACTAAATTAAAACAAATTAATGCAAGTTGGAATCATTGATGCTAAATTAATGAAATCATAGGGATAAAAACATCTTGATTTAGAGATCATTTAGAAAAGCGAGTGATTTTGATATTTACACTAAATGGATGACTTTTTTTTTATTCCTATTAATAAATGAAAGTGTTACAATTTAGGTAACTCAAATTATGTTTGGGGAAAAGAAGAAAATAAAGTTTGAGAATCGGATCAACCAGTTGAATCTAGTCACTGGTTTAACTGATTTTTGATGGTTTTGATTGATTTTTTACCAAAGCAGTTTTATACTACAAATCAGTTCAAAAAAGAAGGGCGGTTCACGGTCAGATTGATCGAACCGTCCAATCCAGTTTGGATCTTCATGGTCGGATCGATCGAACTGTCCAGTCCAATTTCGATCTAACAACATTGGTTTTTGTAACACATGGTTTAGGGCACTCGTTAATACATCTAACCTAATATATATATATATATATATAGATAAACACACACATATATACTAACAATTATTATCTTTCCTTTCATTTATATACTTTTTGCTATTTAATTTTGCCTATCTTCCCTTGTATTTATTTACTTTTCCTAATTAATCTTATATTTATAAAAATATAACACCTAAAATATATCTTAACAAGTGTCCTATGAGCACACGTTACTATTATTGTATAACCTATTTGAGACACCCCCAACAAAATAGGAATAAAAATAAAAAAGGTTAGTACATACCGACTGATTATGCAGGTGATGATGCATATGATTATCATTTAATTTCATACTAAATGAAATTTTTTTACAATGACCACCATGGCCATCCAAAACTTAATCGGGCAATGTATGGATATGCTAGCAAGGGAACATATGGGTTTATTGTGCAATTGATTCCTGCCCTCTACCCCTTTATGTCGTTCTCATTGTGACTAAGATTTCATGTGGTAGCAAAATCAACATTCAAAGAAAGGCATGCTTATGTAAATCAATCATAGGAGCAAGAGCATGCCCTATAATTAAGTACAGTACAATTTATTGTATAATGTATATTATGGAAACATAAGATTCAAGTATAACACAGGAGGATAAAGATGTTCAAGCAGAATTGAGCCAATTGACTGCCTTCCGAAACATTCAGTCCCTATAAAGAAAGAACATACCAACATATTTGAGTCGTCCATTTAATTTTTCAAATAAAAGAGCCAAAGGTGTCTTCTTTAGCTGCTCACACAGCTATCAACTTCAGCTCAGAGATTCAGACCAACAAAAGGCTGCAAATCCAGATACATCTTTTTCCATGCAAGTGAGCACAACACATCACTCCTTTTTTTTTTTTTGGCTAAAATAGATTCTGAATAGAAAAAATCGTTTGTCTAAAATAGAAAAACTGAACCTTAATTTGTGACTGTATTAAATTCTCATGCATACCTGTAGCAATTAAACTTCAAGATTTTCTTGATGTACCCTAACACCAAGAAAAACATCCTTGATGAGATGTAATTTGCTGACAACTTCATTCATGTGCATCAGATCATTTGGCAATCTTTGTGAGCATTTGAGGCCGAGTTTTAACAGGGAAATAGCACACTCCATCTCTCTTCCACCATTGATATTTTCCCTTTTAGGAGTCATTCTTCTGTTTCCATCTCTTGCTTTGCAAAGAATCAAGCGTTCCACGATCTCACAAACTTGTTCAGAGTTATGCAGATCTAGCTCATCCATAAACATATCATCAGTTGGCCTCCTCCTAGTGATCATCTCTTGCAGGAGAATCCCATAACTGTAGACATCCCTAAGAGTTGATGCCGTAAGACCCATTCCATATTTTGAATTTTTGTTTTCAGATATATAATGTTACGTTGTAAAAGAAAAACTTTAAAAAAATAGGGAAAATTATCTAAGGGAGATAACTGGATCAATTGTTTAGATTGGGGTAGATTAAACATATCTACTAAGTACTGGTTCATAAATGAGACTTAATTGAAATTGTTAAAGATGAATCACTAAAAGCCTAATGTTTAGATTGGGGGTCAATTTTCCTAGCCTTCCTTTGTAGACAGCTCCGAAATTTCCTGAACCAATTAAGTTTTCTGGAGAAAATCCTGAAGTTGCACGAACAAGTTCATGGTAAGAAAGTCGTAAGAGCTCATCGATTCTTGTGGGCATGCTAGAGAATCTGGCCACCGGTCCTCTTTCTCTTTTTCGATATACCAAGATATATAACAACACTGTAACAAGAACCAAAAGCGTTGCTTGTTAGGACCGGTCCAGAAATAAACAAACTAAAGTTAGAATAAAATAGGCGGTATAACCTACCATATAATGGTTAGTCGGTAGACACCAGTCATATAATAATTAGGCGGTAAAATCGACCATATAAAAGGGTTGTGACAACCCAATAAAGACAAATAACAAAATAAAATAAAAGACATAGAAGATTTACGTGATTCGGTCAAATTGACCTACGTCCACGGGCGAGAGAAAAGCAATATTTCTATTATGAAGAAAAAATACAAAAGCCGTAGGAAAGTGGTTCCTAGGCTAAAATGGTACTTGCAAAAGGTTTAAGAAATATTCCTAAAGTCAAAATAAGAGAGTCTAAAATATTTGACTATAAATGGGTTAGATTACCCAAGAAACTAATAGCCCATATAATGCTTTCTTGATTGGTGCATCTAAACCTCTCAAAGGCCTCCTATATTTATAAGTGCATAAGGAGAGATTTTCCTTCCGCTTGGCCGATGTGGGATGAAGCAAAATGAAAAACTTATGCCACAAAGTCAAAGCTTGCGATTTTGACAAATCAACAAATCTCCACCTTAGCATAATTTTAGTTCCACCATCGACAACAATAAAATTGCTCCACCTTCTCCATATAGGCCCTAATGGGCGTAAATCACCAACAATGAATACCAATCAAGTCCAAGTACTGCTTGAACTTATAAATTGGAAGAGGCTTCGTAAACATGTCAGCTGGATTGTCTTTGGTATTGATTTTCTGAATAAGAACCTTTCCTTCAGCAATGATATTCTGAATGAAATGATACTTCACATCAACGTGTTTCGCCCTCTCATGATACATCTGATCTTTAGTCAAGTGTATGGCACTTTGACTATCACAGTGAACAATAGTAATACCTTGATGTAGACTAAACTCGCTAAATAAACTCTTCAACCACAAGGCTTTTTTGATTGCCTCGGTCATAGCCATATATTCTACTTCTGTAGTAGACAAAACTACGACAGGTTGTAGAGTAGCTTTCCAACAACAGCGCAACCGCCAATACAAAATACATAGTCTGAAAATGATCTTCTCCTGTCAAGATCTCCAGCGTAGTCTGAATCTACAAAACTAACCAAAGTGTTATTATTTTTTTCAAACTCTAAACATGCATTTGAAGTACCTCGCAAGTATCTGAGAATCCACTTCACAGCCTGCCAATGTGCTTTACCAGGGCAAGACATATATCTGCTAACAACACTGACTACATGTGAGATATTTGGACGAGTACAAACCATTGCATACATAATACTGCCGACTGCACTAGAATAAGGAACCCGTGCCATATAATCTTCATTTTCATCTGATTGTGATGATTGAGCAACTGATAGTCGAAAATGGCTAGCAAGAGGAGTAGATACTGGTTTAGCATCTTTCATGCCAAAACGCTCCAAGACCTATTTCAGGTAATTTTCTTGGGTCAAAAATAATTTCCCTGCTCCTCGATCTCGTTTAATATCCATACCACGAATTTTCTTAGCTGCTCCAAAATCTTTCATTTCAAATTCACTATTTAACTGCAGTTTTAAAGTGCGAATTTCTGACAAATTCTTGGCAGCAATGAGCATGTCATCAACATACATCAACAAATAGATAAAAGAATCATCATCTAACTTCTGGAAGTAAATACAACTATCATACATGCTCCTTAAATAACCATAACCCAACATAAAGGAATCAAACCTCTTATACCACTTTCTTGGAGATTGTTTCAATCCATATAAGGATTTCTTCAATAAGCAAATATGGTATTCCTTACCTTTAATTTCAAAATCCTGGGGTTGTTTCATATAAATTTGTTCTTCAAGTACGCCATGCAAGAAAGCTGTCTTAACATCAAGCTGCTCTAACTGCAAATCATATATGACAACTAAAGCAAGCAAAACACGAATATAGTTATGTTTAACAACAGGTGAAAAAACTTCATTAAAATCAACACCTTGTACCCGACTATAGCCCTTTACAACTAATCGTGCTTTATACCTTGCATCTTCAACCCCTGAAATACCTTCTTTTTTCTTGAAGACCCACTTGTAACCAACTATTTTCTTATTTGACGGCGGCTTTACAAGAACCCAAGTTTCATTTTGATGAAGAGATTCAATTTCTTCATTCATCACAATCAACCACTTTGCAGAATCATCACAAGAAATTGCTTCTAAATAGGTGGAAGGCTCACCAACTGCATCAGTTTCTTCTGCAACAGACAAAGCATATGCAACTAAATTTGCATATCTTTGTGGTGGTCGAATATCTCTCCTTGGTCTATCTCTAGTTATGGAATACTCTTCTTCTTTTGAACTATCTTCAACAGTAGATTCAGGTGCATCTACTGGCACTTGCTAAATAGAATATTTGATTTGAGAAAGATCAGAACTGCCAATATCAAACTCCACCTGTTTCTGTGTACTTTCAGTATTACAAGGACTAGAAAACTCCTTCTTGAAAGATAACATAGACAATTCATCAAAAGTAACATCTCTACTGATCACAAATTTTGGAGATTTGGGATCAGGACAGCATAATCTGTATCCTTTCACCCCAAAAGCATACCCAAGAAAAATGCACTTTTTAGCTCTAGACTCCAATTTTCTATCATTCACGTGCATGTATGCTGGACACCAAAATATTTTAAATTGGAATAATCAGCAGGAGTACCTGACCAAACTTTCTCAGGAGTTTTGAAATCAAGACATGCAGAAGGAGAATGGTTGACAATATAACAGGCCATATTGATCGCCTCTGCCCAAAAGTCGTTTGTCAACCCTGCATTGGAGATCATACATCTTGCTCTCTCCAAAAGCTTTCTGTTCATACGTTCGGCCACACCATTTTGTTGAGGCGTCATTCTGACGGTGTGATGCCGAACAATTCCTTCATTTTTGCAAAATCTATCAAATTCATCTCCACAAAATTCCATGCCATTATCTATTCTCAACCGCTTAATATGTTTTCCTGTTTATTTCTCAATCAAAACTTTTCATTGTTTGAAAGTTAAGAAAACATCATTTTTATGTTTAAAAAAATTGACCCAAAATTTCCTTAAATAATCAACAATAAAAGTCAACATGTACCTGGCACCACCTTTAGAAGGAGTATGGGAAGGGACCCCATAGATCTGAATGAATGTAATCAAGAATACCTTTTGTCTTGTGAATTGCTGGTGAACTGAAACTGATTCTTTTCTGCTTCCCAAAAATACAATGTTTACAAAATTCCAATGGCCCGGTACTTTGTCCACAAAGAAGTCCTCTTTTGCTCAGTATGCCTAAGCCTTTTTCGCTCATGTGCCTCAAACGCATGTGCCATAATTTAGTGATGTCTGTATCTGACAAAGATGATATTAAAACAGTAGCAGCACCTGTAACAGTAGATCCCTGCAAAATATGCAAAGTACCATATCTGTGTACCTTCATAACAACAAGAACTCTTCGAGTGATTTTAAGAACTCCATTTCCATCTGAATACCTGCACCCAATAGACTCAAGAGTGTCTAAAAGGATGAGATTTTTCTTCAAATCTGGAACATGCCTAACATCTGTGAGCGTCCTCACAATACCATCGTACATTTTAATCCGGATTATGCATTTGCCAACAACTTTACAAGCGGCGTTGTTATCTATTAAGACAACTCCACCTTCAGTTGATTCATATGTTAAAAACCAGTCCCTATTGGGACACATATGATATGAACAACCCGAATCTAAAATCCACTTATTGTTAGGTCTAAAAATATTTTCTGTTGTACAGAAAATGGTTCCATCATTCTCATTAGCTGCTATACTAGTTTCAGCGGATTCAGTATTTTTCTCAACAAATTTTCCTTTTTACTTTTCTTTATTTTTCAATTTAAAGCAATCACAGATAACATGACCCTTCTTTTTATAATAATTGCACACCACATTTTTATATTTAGACTTGGATCTACTTCTATTTTCTGTATTTCTCTTTTCAGATCTACCCCGAATAAACAAGCCATCGGCTTGACTCCTACTAGTTTCCCTAATAATATCCCTATCTATTTACTTTTTAGATTTTAATGTAGATTTAATTTTTCGATACAAAATTGTTTCCTTTTCATAAATCATAGTATCAGGAAAATGTTTAAAGGATTGGGGAAGGGAACACAAAAGTAATAGGGCTTGATCTTCATCATCAATTTTTGAATCTATATTCTCCAAATTCATAATAATGAAATCAAATTTATCAAGATGGGAGAGTATAGATGTACCTTCAGACATCCGAAGCATGTACAAATTCTGCTTCAAATATAGCCGATTCTCGACTACTTTCTTCATATACAAAGTTTTCAATTTATTCCACATAACCTTGGCTGAAATCTCCATTGCTACCTTACGCAATACCTCATCGGAGAGATTTAATATTTTACTGGATCTAGCCTTCTTATCTATATCGGCGAAATCCGCATCCTTTACATCTTCTGAATTTTTCTCAATTTCTTGAATTGCCAAGTCAACTCCATCTTGAACAAGAAAGGCCTCCATCTTGAGTTGCCACATTTCGAAGTTGACATTCTTGTCGAATTTCTCGACAATCGTCTTTGTTATCGTCATTGTTGCCATAAAATCTGTAATCTGAAGTTTGTCTCAAAACACTAGCCAAACAAATATGCAAATCTCGTGAGCGGACCCTACGGGATGAGTGGGCCCCACGGAATGAACGGACCCCACGGAATAAGCAGGCCCCAAGGGAATGAACGGGCCCTACAAGATAAATGGGTCTCACGAGATGAACCTGTCTTATAAAATATATCAACCAACTCTGATACCAGTTTGTTAGGACCGGTTCAGGAATAAACAAACTAAAGTTAGAACAAAATAGGCGGTATAACCGACCATATAATTGTTAGGCGGTAGACACTAGCCATATAATAATTAGGCGGTAAAATCGACCATATAAAAGGGTTGTGGCAACCTAATAAAGACAAATAACAAAGCAAAATAAAAAACACAGAAGATTTACGTGGTTGGATCAAATTGACCTACGTCCACGGACGAGGGATGAGTAATAATTCTACTATGAAGAAGAAATACAAAAGCCATAGGAAAGTGGTTCTTAGGCCAAAATAGCACTTACAAAAGGTTTAGGAAATATTCCTAAACTCAAAACAAGAGAGTCTAAATATTTGACTATAAATGAGTTGGATGATCTAAGAAACTAATAGCCCATATAATGCTCTCTTGAGTGGTGCACCTAAACCTCTCAAAGGCGTCCTATATTTATAGGTGTATAAGGAGAGGTTTTCCTTCCGCTTGGTCAATGTGGGACGAAGCAAAATGAAAAATTATGCCACAAAGTCAAAGCTTGTGGCTTTGACAAATCAACATTGCCGGTAAAACAATGGACATCAATATGACATCCTTCAGCTTTCCTTTGTTTTTCCCCTTAATCACTGGGCAAGGTGGGAGCTCCAATTCTGGAATGCCTCCACAGAGTTTGTTGTTGCCAATCAATGATATTTGACTTGCATTGCTGAAAATTCCTATGTTTGGTATCTCGCCTTCGATGTTGTTGTAGGAAAGGTTTAAGTACCTCAAATATTGAAGCATCTCAAGTTCTTTTGGTATTTGTCCAATCAAATTATTACTTGAAAGGTCTACTTGCTGGATGCTCTTCCAAGAAGCCAAATTTGGTGGAAATGTTCCTTTGAAAAAATTGGCCTGCATAAAAAGATTCTCCAGATGTGAACAATTAGCAAGTGAGATGGGTATATCTCCAGCAAATTGATTGTGGGAAACATTGAAATCCACCAAATGTATAAGCTTTCCAACTTCAGCAGGCAGAGAACCACTAAACGAATTTTCACCTATTTTGATGTACATCAGTGATGAGTGCGTCTGCAGAAAATGTGGTGATATAATCCAGTGAAGTTGTTTTGAGATATATCCAGATATTGCAAATTTTTACAGTTCATAAGAACATTGTCAAATATATTGCCCCCTTCAAACTGGTTAAATGATAAGTCTAGATAGTATAGATTGGTGTTGTTGCATAGGGCAAAGACTATCTGTCCTGACAAGTCATTATGGTCCAGACGTAATCCTTGCAAATTTGGTAACTTGCCAAAATCTCTTGGAATAATCCCTGAAAAAGAGTTCAATTCAAGGCCAAGTTGAATTAGGTTGACAAAGTTTCCAAATCCTTGTGGAATGGTTCCTGACAGTTGGTTTCCTCCCACGAACAATTCAGTGAGTTGATTTGAGAAATTGGCCATGATTTTAGGTCCATTACCTCCAAATGTATTGGCACTCAAGGAAAGAATTCTTAGATTACTGCAGTTGGTCAGTGATGCAATAAAATCCAAATCTCCTATAGAATTATTGCCGAAGAGATTGTGATTAAGATTAGCTCTTTTGAGTTGTATCAGATCTTCTAAATTAGTTGGAATTTGGCCTGCGAACTTATTATAGGGAAGATCAAGTATCTCAAGCCCAGAAGCATTAGTGATTGAAGTTGGAAAGTTTGCATACAAGTTGTTCCCCCCAACATACAACACTTGTAGATTTGGTAGGGTGAGACCTATGTTGGTTGGGAGATTGCCATGAAAGGAATTGTCGGCCACTGAAATGACAGTAATGGCTAAACTATTAAAGATGGAGGCAGGGATTATACCAGATAGTTTATTTTCTGATGCTGAAAATATAGATAACCTTTTCAAGAGCCCCATCTCCATGGGCAAATTTCCCTCTAGATTGTTGAAGTCGAGACTGATTCGGATCAATGATGATAAGTTCCCAGTGGAAGAGGGAATCTCTCCTGTCAACTTGTTTGTGCGAAGATAAAAATTTTCAAGCCTCTTCAAATTGCTTAGCTGATCAATTGGAATCTTCCTTTCTAGCTTGTTACTGGTTAGGTCAATAGTTATCATCTCTGCACAGTAGCTCAGATTTTCTGGGATTTTTCCACCGAGTGCATTACTTGACAGGTTCAAGACTCTTAGCCTTTTGAGGCGACTGAATTCTTGGGGAATCTCACCATGGAATTGATTCTCCGCAAGTTGGATGAACCTCATGAAGCTTAGATTTCCGACATGAGGAGATAGGGTTCCAGACAACTGCTTATACCTTAGAATCAAGGCTATGACCCTCTGATGTCGAGTACTGCAGGTGACTCCTTCCCACTGGCAATGGTGTTGTGAATGGTTCCAGGAATTCAGCACTCCAAATGAGTGATCATATATTTGCTTCTTGAATTCAAGCAGAGCAAGTCGATCGATCTTATTTTGAAATTGTTTTGCAGCTGAAACATGGTTTACTGAAAAGCTCATGGCAACTAAGAGTAGGAGAAAAATGTTTGCTAATGTTGATGAGCGAAATCCCCACATGGTATTTGGAATTTCGATGGGATGTGAAGGCAAAGATGGATTAATTTGCAACAAATTGATGATTGAATGATAAAAGTTTCTGTGGAATGGGAACAATGTTTGAGCTGTTATAGATTCTTGTAGTTCTGCTTATATTAACCCAAACAATTGGAACGAAATAATTTCTTGGTATATTTTCGAGTAAAATGAGCTAAACTTCATTGTGAGAACTTACATTCAGAAATGGTCAGCGAGCTTCCACCAACTTACAATTTAGTAGCCTAATAAAACATACACGCAAGATGATTATTGGTCCTTTACATATCCACGTCTATCAGTTTGGAAAATGGCCCTAACCAGACTCTTTATAGAAATCAGATCACAAAGCTAATGCGCTTCTATTTCTAAACTCTAGTATGCATTTTTCAGTCAATCTGCCTAGGGGAGTCAGTTGCTCTGCTCTAAGTCTACACAAACATACAAAACTAAGCACAAATAATTTATCTGAGGTTGGAGAAAATGTATTCTTGTTTCTTGACCTAAACAACAAAAGTGTTCTCTTCATCTTACTTAGTTATATTTTTATTCCTTTTTCCTCATCTTCTAATTGACAACCAACCGGGTGGGCACGGGTCGGGTACCAACCCCGAACGCTAATTGGCTGACCCGACTCTAACATATCGGGTCATTATTTTTTTGACCCTAATCCGCTCCGATCTTCCTCGGGTACCCGATCCTCGGATACCCGAAAAATAGGGGCGGATCATAGGTACCCGCCCCAACTTAAAGAATGCAAATTCTACAAACTCATAAGACATAAGATGAACCTGCTGGATGATAGCATCATTCAACAAAAAAAGGCAACAACATCATTCAAACTAGACAAAGACAAAGCATAATCAAATCTCAAAAATGATCATTAGCAGTAGTTCCACACTAAATCATAAAGTTAGAAATATCTACTCTGATACATAACTTCCAACAAGGGCATATAATGAGAAAAATGTACACTATATAGACATTCTCAAATCCAGAAAACATGGCATAATGCATTGACTAGGCATAAATCAAGAAGCTGTCTTCATTTTCCTCCCCTAGCCATGCCATGACAGTTAGTTTCAACAACCTCAAATGTTTCAACAACCTCAACCTTTTACAACACATGAAGGAGCACAATCTTCAAGAATCATCAATCTTCAATATTAATAATAGAATGCTCCACTGTCAAACCTGAAAAAAATTTCCAAAAATAAAAGCAACCAAGAAATATATTAGCACAAGTTGAAACTCAAATGAATAATAAAATTTTCAATGCAATGATAACAATTAACAAGATATGAAAAGTATTACCCGATTCCATTTCTTCAAGTTTAGTTATACTTTCTTCCAAATCAATTGGTTGAATACCCTTGCGAAACCAATCTTGTCCATAAATTATAGCCTCCGCCATTCTTGGAGTTAAAGAGTTTCGAAAAGAATCCAGCACACGGCCTCCCGTACTAAAAGCAGACTTAGAGGCAACAGTAGATACCGGAATAGCTAATATATCTCTAGCAATTGCAGCAAGAATTTGGAACCTATGAGCATTATCTCTCTACCAATCCAATATGTGAAAGTTTGGACAGTGAAAATCTTCCTTCATTTCCATCAAATAGATGTCCAATTCCGTTTTATTGTGAGTGCTATCCAATGTATCAGCCTTTTGAGAATACTTTGCATGCATGTAATCTGATGCCCCTTTAACTGTAATTGCATCAACATCCATTTTATCCATTTCCCTAAACTGATTTTGACTTATTACTTCCTTATAAGGTGATTTTTCAGCAGAATAAAAGTCAAATAGGGAATGTAACACCTTTTCCACCTTAAATTGTAACATTTCAGCATTCTTAGGATCATATGCCTCATCAATTGCCCATTGAACATAACTTAGTTTATGCCGGGGATCAAGAACAACAGCAATCAGAATCAATATGTTAATCCTTTCCACATTACCCCAATATTTATCATATTTTTTCTTCATATTCCCAGCCATAGTTGACAAACCAAAGTCATCACTTTCTTGAAATGAATTAAGAAGACCACCAATGCCAAAAATTTCATTCATATATACATTTCCTGTCACATAACGTGAGCCTGACATTTTCACAGTAGAATAAAAAAAAATTTGAAAAAAAGACAAGAAATCTTTTGCATACTCCCAATCTATTTTAGTTGGCACACCCCTCACCTTAGAACTCCTACGAGTATCATTCTCACTTTGTGGAGTTAACTCTTCGACATATTTGCTATCCATAGTTTCTAGCAACTCAAATGCCTTTTGAAATTTTAGAGCAGCCTCTAACATTAAAAATGTGAAGTTCCACCTAGTTTCAACATCAAGGCATACAAGACTTTTACTTTCGATTCTTTCTTTTTCTATGCAAGATTTGAATCTTTGAGCTCTAGCAGGTGAAGACTTAACATATCTCACAGCTGATCGAATTCAAATAATAGAGTCTTCCAAGTCTTTCAATCCCTCCCCAAACATCAAATTCAAAACATGGGCAGCACATCTCATATGCAAGTATTCTCCATTTAAGACAGTACCTTTCCAATTAATAAGCCTTCTTCTCAAATATTGCAAACGAGTGTCATTTGAGCTAGCATTGTCTACCGTAACAGTCAAAACTTTACTAATTTTCCAATCAAGCAAGCATTTTTCTACTGTCCGACCAATAACTTCACCCGCATGACTTGTAATAGGACAGAAACTTAAAATCTTTTTGTGCAATTTCCATTTATCATCAATAAAGTGAGCTGTCAAACACAAATAATTCAGATTTTAAATGGATGTCCAAGCATCAGTGGTGAGACAAATTCGTGAGGATAAAGTTTCAAAGTATGCCTTCAAACTTTTCTTCTCATCTGAAAAAAGCTTATGGCAGTCTCTAGTTAAAGTTCTACATGATGGCATTTCAAACCGTGGCTGCATAAACTGACAAAAATCCAGAAATCCCCCCCTTTCCACAAATTTAAAAGGTAGTTCATCTATAATCACCATCCTAGCCAACATTCTCCTACATGATTCTTGATCAAACATATGGGTTGTTAATGCTTTTCCCCCTCCCTCTTTTGCTTTAAACTCCAGCGTCTTTTGCCTCTTATCCTTATTATTATACGGATATTTTTTACACCTATGAAGGTGATTACTCAAAGAAGTAGTACCATTTTTGCTTGCACAGGCAATCAATTGTTGACAATATTTACAAGCAGCTTTCTTGTCTTTTGTTTCCGTACCTGTAACAACTGCATAATGCTCCCAAACCCAAGACCTACTGCTCTTGGTAGACACTTTTGTCTCGGATGTTAGAGGAGGTGGTACTTGACTTGTCTCAGTTTCAGAAGCTCCAGCAACAATTTTTGGATCCATTGATGATGAATGATCAACATTTGGGCTTGCAGCTGTAGTAGCTGTATTATCCCCTGTACTTGACATCTGAAAAATTCAAAAAACAAATCAAATGAAAATCCCACTTCTCTACCATATGCGCAGCTAATACATAGCTCAGAAACTCCCATAAAATCATGTCCAGATTCATCAAATACATAAAATCACTGCTGACTTATTCGATGGCCAGTTGGCCACGCATGTCGCATGTGACCACTAGAGCTTCATTCCATCTTAGTATTATTGGAAATGTACGTGCCTTGCATTTAGATTAGATTCCATCATCAGGAAGAAAAGAAATCCGAAAAAGTGGACAACTAAAAATTTGTTGATTTCTAAAGATGAATTAGAAAGAAAAGGGGAGCTTCATTTTTCTCCTGTCATGAAGAGTATCTCCATGGAAAATTATGGCCAGAATTTGTTTCCGTACCTGTACCATTTATGCCGACCCCCTTTTTCATTTTTTTTTCTTTTTTCTGTATGGGTCCAGCAATTCCTAATCTTAATTGTACAACCTAGTTTTGATTTGGACGAAAGATCAGAATTCATGTAGCCAATTCGACAAAAGCATAGACGTACACATAGATGCAGAATATTTTGGTAGAAAGAATTGAACTTAAAAGAAAAGAGTTATTGAAAAACCTTGATAGCTAAACCACCCGGCTCCGACGTCGACAGCATCAGGCGACCTTTGGCAGCGTCCCTTTACTCGAAGGTAGAAAAGGACGACAATGGAGAATCAGGGCTGAAGAGAAAGGGATTTGATTCAGGCAGTTTGAGGAGTTTTAACGGTAGTCTTCGGCCCTAGGTTTGAGAGACAAGGGCATCGGCCACTGAAGACTGAAGACTGAAGAGTGAAGAGTGTCGGCTGAAGCAAAGGCTGAAATCTGAATGGATGACCAATGGATTGATTTAGGTTAGGAACTTAGGGTTAATAACTTAAAAAATTATAAAATTGCCCCTGTATTTTTTAATATTTATATATTATACCCCCGGGTCGGGTACTCACGGGTTTTTGCTTTTACGATCCGTACTCGTATCCAAATGTTCCAGATACCTGACCCTATCTGATCCGCTAAGAGAAATTGGATCGGATATCCTATTTTTCGGTGCGGATCGGGTCGAATCTCTCGGGTTTTCGGGTCAACGGGTATTTTTGCCCACCCCTACTAATGTTTTCTCTCAAATAATTGAGATGACTAGTCAGCGGCGGATTTGTATGTATGGGCATGGAGCACCAAATTCCATTAGTATAGCCTTCAATTTTAGTAGATTTTAAACATTGCCCCCCAATAAATTTTCCTCAAAAGTGAATGTACTGCTCCAAAATCAAAGGACTAGGTTTGCAATTTGATGGAATTGGAATACTAAACAATTCAAAATCAAATGCTTTTTACTCTAATCATTTAGTTTCCTCGAAAGTCAATTTAATTTACTACAAATTACCTAAATACTTTCTTTGGACTTTTTCCAATAAAATAAATATAGAATTAAGTAATCGTTTGTGCAATGAAAAATAAAGAGAAAGTAATATTTTCCAATACAGCATACTTAATGATATCGCAAGCAAACAAGCAGATTAAAAATATTT